AAGGAATGATATTTGAACTAAATTGTAAATATTTTTGTCTCTTTTCTGTTACATTTGGATGTAATTTCATTTTAGAATTGTATATAGTGAGTAACATTTTGCATTAGCAAATCCAAAATATGTTTAAAAACATAGCCATATCAAATGCTAAAAAAGCACTTGATAAAATTTAATTTCTATTTTCTTTTCAGTCAGGGTCTCACTATGTAATTCAGGGTGGCCTTGAACTTGCTGTGATCCTCCTCCTCAGCCTCCAGAGTTCTGGGATTACAGGCGTGCACTACCATGTATGACAAGACCTGTACATTTCTTTCTTTTTAAAAATTTTATGAAAAAATAAAATTTCATAATCAAAAAATAAGAGTAACAGTAGTTATTACACTGTGAATCATTACCTTCAAAGTAGGTACTCAAGAGTACAAGATATAAACCCAAAAAGGTTCTTACAAAAAACCCCAAAATAACACAAATCTTTCTTTTTAATGAACTAAGATAAACTAATAGAATAAATTAAACCAATTTTTATGTGTATATAAGTGTTTTTAAAACAATGACATTTGTGTTTTGGGGAAATATTTGAACTTCTACTTCATTTTTACTATTTATCTCTCTTCTATTCTGCTCTTTGTGTGTGTGTGTGTGTGTGTACAGTTTTTCTCATAAAAACCATGTGACATTTGTGCTTGTATGTCTGACTTATTTCACTTAACATTATGCTCCCAAGTTGCATCCATTTGCCTATGAATGCCTCAAGTTTATCTTGCTTTGTGGCAGCATAGTATTCCATTGTGTATAAATATCACATTTTCTTTGTCTATTCATCTGTTGATGGACATATACACTGTTTCCAAGATCCAACTACCATGAATTGTGCTGTTATAAACATAGCTATTCAGGTGTCTCTGTAATAGATTTTAACTCCTTTGAGAATATATGTAGAAGAGACATATGTTTCAAATGGAATTTCTATTTTTAGTCTTTTGAAAAATCTATACTAATTTCTATAGTGGTTGTACTAGTTTACATTCACACTAACAATGTAATAGTTATTTTCCCCTGCATCCTTGCCAATGTTTGTTATTACAGGCATTCTTTAAGGACTGGGTTCTGGTCCTGCGACTAGGTCTTAAATGAATTAGTTGCTAAATGAGGACTTGTATGCAACATGTACATTACAATATTCAGAATAAATAAATGGACAAAGGAAACTAACTTCATGACGTTGTTTTTATTTGTATAATTCTTACATGCAGTACTGTAATGCATAATAGAATATAACATTACAGTACTGTGCAGAACAATCAGCAAAAATTATAGTACTTTATAAGGTATACTGTACAAAAAATTGAGGCTCTATAAACAAGATGTATAGAACTATACAACAAGAACAATAAAACATGTTGTAAGTCGGAGGGGTGGGTCTTAAGTCTGAATAGCATATCAATAGTAATTCTCAACAGTTGATAAATAGGTAGGTAATTAAATGATGAATATCTGTATTAGATTTCTTGAGGGCAGCCATTCTTGGGTAAGGTAAAATTCAGTGTAAATTATAATTTGCATTCCCTGATGGCCACCAATGATGAACATTTTCTTCATGTATTTACCATTTGTGTTTCTAAGAAATGTCTGTTCATTTTGGTTGACCACTTTTTGATATTTTAATTTGAAGTCCTAATTATTTTGAGATCTTTATATATTCTTGATGTTAATCCTCTGTCCAAGAAATAGCTGGCAAAATTCTTTACCTTTCTGTAGATTGTCTCTTCACTGTTGGTTGTTACCTTTCCTGTGCAGAAACTTTGTAATTTTCTATGATCCCATTCTTCGATTTCTTGTGCCATTGGGGTTCTATTCAGAAAGTCTTTACCTATACTTGTGTCTTTAAGAGTTGTACCTATTTTATTTTTCAGTAGATTGTTTTAACATTTAGATCTTTGATCCATTTTTATTTTAGTTTAGAACATGGTGAGATATATGGGACTAGACTCATGCTTTGCATGTGTGTATCCAATTATTCTAGTGAAACAGGGCACCAAGTAATCTAAATAAGAGAAATAAGCTAAATGATATAAGAAAAAATATTATAGGAGTACAAAGGACCTAGAAAAGTTAAAAAACAAAAACAAAAACAGTTGGAAGACGTTTAGTACCTAATTTTCAGACTTCTTCTAAAGCTACAGTAATCAAGGCAGTGTTGGTGTAAGGAAAGACATATAGATCATT